AATTTCAAAGTGAAGGTAAATAGTAAAGAGATGAGATATTTAAAGTTAAAGTTTGGCAAGTTATGTAATGTTGTTGTAATATTGTTTCATTTTAACTGTGGAATTTAATATCTATTGGTTATCTAAAATAAGCATCCCTTATTTAAACATCAAGATCAAAGAAACCCAGCAGATAATGAGAATATGTCTTGATTAATGTGGTTTTAATTTACATTTTAAGAGAGCATCTAAAATATATTTCTGTTAGAAAATTTCCCTTTACCCAAGTACAAATTATTGTACATTTTGTTCTCGAAAATTCCGAAGTATTCAGCAAAATTACTTTTGATAAAGATATTTAAATTTTCCGATTTATATGGATTAAATCAACCGGCTAAAGTCTGCAAAAACTAACCCATTTTGTTAGGAAACTTTTACTAGTACTTTTAGTAGACAACTTCTATTGAGATCTTATTTTTTTCCATAGTAAAGCACCGTGCGAAATGGCCAAATCGAATTGGTGACCCCAAAACTCTTTTTTTTTTGTTCCCCCTCCGCTATCACCGCACCATGACATCATCAGTGGCAGGCAGTAGCTTCACCATCACCATCATCATCATCATCATCATCATCATCATCATCATGGACTTTGACTGCTGATGGTTCCAGTTTGGTTTCGGTTTCGCAGTTTTTTCCTTTGTCTGTTCTGTACCCACTCTCTGTTATTATTCCGGCTTTTTGGCAGGAGCCAACTGCTAATGACGACTGTGTGTGTGTGAGCCAAAATCAATTTGATTCCTCCATTGGTAATGGCAACTCATGAGCGCCTGCCATTTCCATAACGGTGACAGAAAATCGGCTTACAATTTTCCCCAAACGCGCCAACTTTTATGCGAATTTCGGTCTCCGCGAAACTGTTCAGTTTTCAGTTTTTTGCCTGCCAGAAATGCCACGCCCTCATACCAAAAAAAAAAAAAAATGTTGGCAATAAATCTTTGGAATTACCGCATGCAAATTGATTTGTTGCTCTCAACCCTGAATCAAATGCAAACTGCAGTTTGCAGTTTCGGAGGGAGAGCGGTGGAGAGGTCTGAAACACACATAAATAAATTGTAATTTGCCAATTGTGTGTGAGTGTAAAAGTTATTAGCGATAACTCGTTCTCTGACACTGCCTATTGTGTGTGCGGCTCCCTGGTATCGATGGCTCACTATACCCGGAAACGGACTACGCTGGTACGTGTCCCCCGGACAGGCTCTCCTCCTCCTCCTCCTCCTCCAGCCTCAGCCCCTTGTGGCATTTTGGTTATTAGTCATAAAGCTGCAATGGGATTGCCAACTGGACAACTTTGTTAATGATACATGGTTGACCAAGTTTGGATTTGTTGCCGCTTGGCCTGGCCGTGCTGTTTGTGCGGCGTCAAGTTGATAAGTTGCCGGAGCAACTTGCCTGTTTGAGGATCAAATAATTTGTTTACAAACTGCCTTGCATATGGAAAGTTTGCTCCGCAGTTTGCCCAAGGCCGACTTGGGAGTCTGGAGCGGGATGAAAAGTGGGTCAGACCCAAAGGCGAAATAGCTACGGCAAGGGTTTTTGTTAAGCAAGATGCGGCATAAGGAGAGGAGCCTAATCCGGGGACAAGAAAATGTTCTACATTTATTATTAGGTGGCCTTTTTCTGGCGACGAAAGGAATATAGAGTGAGTAAAAGGTTTATCAGACATCTTGAATTATTTCTTAGACATATTAACGAAACTTGTAATTGAATAGATACTGAGGAAATAAGTTAAAGCAATATGTTTTCTGGGGAATAGTTGTACGAATTTCTCTCTTAAGTTTTTAAATATGAAACTAAGAGATTATGTTATAAATGAAATAAACTAAAATGGCTTATCTAATTGGTTGTTATTGTTATTGTTATTTCTCACAGACAGTAAGTCTTTTCTTTGTTTATAACTTCCTTAAGTAACTTAAAAGGGTTCTATGAGATAATTGACTACGTAGCAGCTGTTTTTGGGCAGTCTTTAACTGCATGTTCACCTTTAAATTTACTAAATTATATTTAAAACAGATGAGATAACTAACTTCCGGAAGCTGAAATTTCTATATCCATGCAGTTTGCAATTACATTTTAAGATTGCATCAGAAACTGACCATAACTAATTTATCAATTGTTTTATATGACAATTTTCTCGGAAAAATCAAAGTTTCAAAAACGCATAACTAAGCCAAAGTAGCATGAATTTCATTAAGGAAAGCTGTTCTTTGCTAGTTTTTGCAAGGTTAATAAATCTGCATACTCAAATTTATAATTCAAACAAATTCAAATTTTTCAAATTTTTGACAGTCTTAATGACCCCATTTTAACCCCTTAAAAATTGTCAAAAAATTTTTACAATTTTTTTTCTTCCGGATATGTCTAGATCGATTCGCCTGTTGATGCTGATCAAGAATATATATGATTTATAGGGTCGCAAATGACTCCTTCATCAGTTATCACCAAAAATACATAAATTATGTTCCTTATGGGAAATATAGATCAATATTTTTATAGAACCATTTTTGAGAAAATCATAGTTTTTCAAATATTCATAACTAAGCTAAAAATGCAATAATTTTAATTCGGAAAACTGTTCAGTGCTAGTTTTTATTAGGATAATAAATCTACTTACTCAGTTTAAATTTTAAAAAAATTTAAAAATTTCTTAATTTTTAACGATGTAATCCCTTATAAAATTTTGAAAAAATTTGAACAAAAATTTTGAACAAATTTTTTCTGCGCAAGAGGTAGCAAGTTCGATTTAGATTTCGATGCTGATCAAGAATATATATGATTTTTAGGGTCGCAAATGACTCCTTCATGGCGTAACAAGCTTCTGAATAAAATTATAATACCCAGTAGAGGTATAAATATAGCTATCTTACTCAGTGTTATTACGAATAGAATAACAAAAATTCGTAATATAAAAACCTCCAGAAAGCCTCTTCGTGGCTCCACATCTCCCAGTGTGTTAAATCGCCGATGACATTTTGTCAGCCGCAGAGCATCCTTCTGGCAAGAGCATTTGAGCCAGTAATTAGCCAGGACTGAAAACGACTCCTTTAGAGCCCAGGATGAGAACCACCATTCTGGTGGGCGGTGAGGGAGGTGGAGGCGTTCGTGTTTGCACTTTCGTGTTGTTGCGCTTTTTAGTCCCTTTCAGTCTGGCACTTTGAAAATCCGTATTCGTGGAAGGGTTTTCTCTCTGCCCCCGGCCTCCGATCCACTCCGCATTTATTTAATATTTTAATTAAATTATTCCCGTGCATGTGCAGTTGGTTTGCCGGGGCGTCTAATGGCCCAACTTCATGGCGTACAAAGTATTTACATGCAAATGCCGTCAACGTGTTACGGCCTGTGCCCCTCCCAGATCCCGGATCCCGTGTTCGGTGCTTGGTGTTCCCTGTTCCGGTTCTTGGCAGGAATTCGAGCCGGAAACCTGGAGCACGAGCCGAGACCGAGACCTGGACTCGAGATGGAGCCATTACCACCCGCACTTAACGTTAATTAAACTGCTGTGTGTGCTAAAATGTCTCTTTTCCATATGTGTGCGGATATCCCCTGCTCCATCCCTGGAATTCAGGACCTCTCCTCCACCCAATCCTCCTCCCAGCTTGGCAGCTGCTGTCGTTTTAATAGCTTAATGTAGTTACTTCCACTTTGAGTGTCTCCTGTGTCGGAGGAGAGAGAGAGAGGGACTGGGAGCATGGAGCAAATGTGTCTTTGCTAATAAAAAACACAACACTCAGCAAAATTGTTATGCAGCAAACTAAATCAACAGACACCCATGTACCGCCCACTTTTTCCATTTTCCCCTGACCCCTTTTTCCTGGATCCACCACTAACGTACATACATACATACGGACAAATTACAAAGCTATGACGGGAAAAAAGTGAGGCAGGACATGGAGGACATGGACAGAAGGAGGAGCAGATGGCACGGAGGTGAAGAAAGACGGGAACCCGTGTAAGCCACACTTACAACACACGGCTCGGCTCCATGTGCCGTTTTTGGGGTGCGCTTACTTACAGCACTCACTGTGGCCACCAAGGGCAAGGGAATGGGCAGAATGGTTCTGGATGCGTTGCACCAAGGTCTTTCGCAGTCCTAGTCCTAGTCCTATTCTAGGGATACGTGTATGTGTGTGAGCAAAAAAGGCGATATCTAACAAAGTTTAACTCGTTTTATGTCGAGAAACCTACAAAAAACCAGATAACTGGGGTACTCCTGACATCAAAGATATATCTTATAGAACAATCTACAAGTTAAGTAGCTTTGATGATTAAATTTTATACAAATGATTTCCCCCTCTTAAGCTTTTACATATTTTTCATAAATTTAATCATGTTCAAAGTCAAATATGTAAAGATTTCTGGGTCAAGACTATTTATAATTCTGTTAGTAATATGTTTTATGTATTTTTAGGAATACAAATACTTAAGAAAATGTCTAAGATGTGTGCAGACTATTTAAATAGTTTTCACATGCCTGCAAACCCCTTCTATATATTCCCATTTTCCTTCTACGAGGGTTACAGGATATCCCTGTAGTTGATCATACTTTTCCTGCACTCTTCTGGCTGCCTGGCTGCATTCAGTCAGCCGAATATGTTGGCTCAGTTTGGCACACAAAACGACGCAGCAGCAGGAGCATCAGGAGCAGCAGCTTTTCCGCATGCAGCTGCATCTGGCAACCGAAAAGTGGAAAGTGGAGGTGGAGCTTTTGGGGCACATGAATGGGCGAAATGAAGAATGTGGATGTGAGCCTTCCAACTGCTGGCAGGATTAGCCTGGACATGCCTGAATAATGTCTTTATTAGTGGCCCAAAAAGGGAGCAATACCGGTCGTCTGTCTCCATTGTTTCCTGTATCTTTTGTTTTTGCTTCTGTGACTCCTGCGTCGGCGGGGTTTTGATTTCATTAATTAGGCGCCTACGTGATAGCAAGCATAACTAACCGACAATCTCTCGGATTTCTTACAGTCTGCGCTAAAAGAAGATGGCCCAACCACAGCTGCTGCAAGTGAAATTGTCACGTTTCGATGCCCAGCCCTGGGGATTCCGCCTGCAGGGTGGCACGGACTTTGCCCAGCCCCTGCTGGTGCAGAAGGTAAGTGAAGAACACTCCCTAAACTATATATATATTTAGTTGTTTAAGCTAAATCAGAGAGTGGTGGAAAAATCACCACTTAATTCGATTGACAACAAATGGAATATGTTTTTGGAAAACACTCTCGCCGCAGCCAACAAAAAAGAAATGAAAATTAAACATGAAAAGCGAATATTAGTTGGGCAGTTAATTTATTTATGGGTTTAAGTGCTCTCTCTCTCTCTCTCTCTCGTTTTTTTTCTATATTATTTCTATACTTCTATATTATTTTCTTTTTTTTTGTTAAAAATAAATCCGTGGATATAAGTTTCACTTTTTGTGGTCGTCGTTTACGTGCGATTTTTGCGCACGTTACCCAAAAGCAAATAAAACCGTATTTTTCCCAATTTTCAACAAATTTCCTCTCGCAATATTAATGCGAACAGACACAGCCACACAAACCCACACAAATGAACAGACAAACAGACAGATGGACGGACTGAAAACCCAACTAAAAATTTGTTAAACATTCATAACAGATCTCGAAACATTTTACATTTGTGGCGACACGCAACAGCAACAATTTTTGCTAAATCATTTTGACAACTTTATGAGCACTTGCGGGGCGCGAAAATGTCGAAGGAATAAATGTGCATATGTATATCCTACGTGGTTTCCATATTGACAGTGCAGTGCGAGACACGAGTGTAAGGCTGTAACTAATTAATGACCATTTAATGGATGCAGTTGCCGTTTCACTATGTTATATATATATACTACATTGGTCTTTGTTCAGAACTGTACCACTTTCTATCTTATCTAATTGCTGATAATATCGTCAGCGAAAACACAAACATTTCCAACAATTCGCGTAAACATGAGCTAACTTTTTTGAGTTAATCACAGTCTCTCACTCACTCAAAAGCCTTGAAATTCCTGGGACATTATGAGAGTATAGTACACTGTGAATCATTATATATAGAAGCTCGATCCAGAGCACAACTGACGGGAGCCACAACAATTTCGTTTATGACTCAAGCTCGCTGCGATAAGAACCTTTGTTTGAAGGCGAGTCTAATCAAAAGCTAAAAGTGGGGAGAACGTCAATAAAGAGAATTGCCTTATTGTTACTGCATAAAGCTATTGCCGAAATAATTCCATAGTATTGATTTAAATTCCGATAATGTCCCCTGGTCTCATTCTCATGTTCTCATAGTCTCTGCAATCCCCTCCAAAACAACACACAATCTGTAAATATTTCTCTACGCTCCGAAATAACACAAATTCTGTTCGAGCTTTTTCTCTGTTTGTTTTTGGCTTTTTGAGGGGACGGTGGGCGGTTGGTTGGTTGGTGGGCGTGGCCAGCGCTAAATGCGCAATTTCTATTTAAACAGCTGTGGATTTTTGTGTCAATGCTATGCGGCATTTCTGAGCTGCTGCACTGAGCTATTTAAAAACAAAACAAACAACAACAAAAAAAAAACACAAAAAAATAAAACACGAAATGTGGATTATGGATTTAAGCCATTTCGATTAATTTAAAATCGGATAAATTGAAGCGCTTCTGCCAATTAGCACGCACTCCTCTCGTCTCTATGTCATTGTTTTGGCCACTAAACAACATTGTTTGGCCCTAAAAGTGCAACAGGAGGTCCTGGCTAGACCAGCATTTAATGGGGGTGAAAAACTGTCGGGACAAATTTGTGTTTGGAATTTATGCGAAAATCACAGAGCATGCATAACGCAATTTGTGCAATTTGAAATGGAAATATTTATGGATTACACAACGAAAAACAAAGCTGGACAAATCCCAATCGTTTTCGTTAGCCATGGTGCGTTTTTTTTCAACCAGAGAGATGAGTGATCTGCCTGCCGGCAGTGCGACATCTCCTGGCTGGCTGACTGACTGCCTGCCTTTTGCCTTTCGAACACTTCAAGCCCAATTGAATTTCGAATGGCGCACTTAAGCCGCATCTTCCTTCGCAGGATACTGCGTAAAAACTTTGCTCATAATGAGCCACACGGAGAGAAAACTCCAGACAGCTTAAATAATCTCAAGCAACTGATATACAAATTGAGAAATAAATGCCTTCTGCTGTAGTTCTCCCTTTCTCATCAATATAATAAGAAAGTTTCATATTTTTTCTCTGTGTACACCTGCTGAGCTCCTTGGTTGCCAGGACACAAGCTCAGCTCTTTTGCTCTGCAGCGGAACTAAAACCCCAACGAACTCAACTGAACTCCGGCACTTAGCCCAACTCGAGGACTCTCCTCTACCTTGACAACAAATCGTCATCTCAGTCATCGTCAGCATCCAATCATGTCACCGCCTCCACCGGCTCCTCTCTTCACCCTTGAGCCACAGCCAAACAAATTGGTGCTCTTTAAATGCTGCCGCAGCAGTAGCTCGGCTCATCAAGATGCAACACATGACATGGGCAGGAATATAAGTCCTCCACTTCCGTCAAATAACAAAAGCTCCCTGGGTTTGGGAGCATAAAAATAAGCTACTGAGCTGCTTAAATCGGATTAATTTATGATTTCTCGCTGTGAGTTTCGGTTTGGTTCTCGAATGAAGTCCTTTTCCTGTTGCTTCCGCCGATGGCCTGTGCCCAATGTCCTATGTCCTGTGTGTGTTATAAGCTTTATGCCCACGGATTTTCACCCACTCTCTTGCACACAGAAGCCACGTTTGTATTTCATTATCAAGTCCCCGAGTTCGTTTTGGGCCACAAAAAGCGTCGCACAAAAGGCCAAAGTCAAATAAAAGCGAAAGCCATGCTCTGGACAAATAATGGACCAAATAAGTAATACAAGAGTGAAAATTCGGTTTACTACAAATTTCTGGCTTTCTGGCTGGCCAAAGAGTTTGGTCCATACGCCATGTATCAAGGCCAAAAGAAAAAAAAAAGGGAAACCGAAAATAAAAGCATCAGTGTCGGCTATTAGCCAACTTAAAGTCTAGACAAACTCAGGAGGGGGCGTGGCACAGCCAGAGCTCTGGATAGAGGACAGTATATGCATAACAAGCTACTGACGGCATCCAAGGCAACCGCCATAGCTGCCCAGACCCACACACATGATCCTCCACCATGCCATACCCGGTGCTTCTCCCAGCGAACTCCGCGTTCTGTTCATGCAAATCAGCTTGGCGGGTATTTTTTTCTCGCTTCCCTTGCAAAAGGTACTCTTACTTTATAAAAGGGTTTACTTTCTAGTATATAAATGCTTCTATAAATGCTCTTTAAAGCAATTTAAGTTTTATTTTTAAGTTCTTTTTAGATGTATCATTCTCTTTGGGGAAGTTCTAAAGAGATTTTAAGATCTTTTTAATGAGTTTTTTGGGTATTTGAGAGTTAGTCCCTTTAGAACAGTAGATATGCCTTTAAGCATTTAAATTTCTAAGTTAAAAAATGCATTATTTATAAAGAAAGTGCATTTGAAACTTCTCTTTCAAGTGGATCTACTCTTTTCCAGAGTTTTTTTTTCCTACCAGCTACGCTTCGTTTCGGTTCAGTTTCGGCTGTGTTTTTGCTCGTTTTAAGCTTGTTTGTTTGCCTTCCCGGGTTGGCCATTAATTATTTGACTCCTGTCTGGGGGCAGCCTTTGTGTTTGTGCCCGTGTTTGTCTTTGTCTTTGCCTCAAACTATGCAAAATTTCATAATTCGGAACTCATTCCTCTTCCACTTGCTGGTATATTAGTGCATCTCTAACTTTGCCACCCCCGTTACTGAGCCAGGATATCTACTGGTTACGTGTTAACCCTCACAGCCTTAAGTCCGCCACGTCTGTTTCTGATTTATGCGAGCCCAATTATGGAGGCAAATTTCGTTTGCTTTGATTTGGGGCTTTTGTGTAATTGAATCCGGCAGAGGAGTGGACACACCCAGCAGCTGTGGTCTCGACTCTCGATTGTCGATTGTAGGCGATTGTAGATGCTGATTGAACTTGCACTTTTCTCGAGCCCAACCACAACATGTCAACAGAACGGAGGGACCTAGTTGAAGAGAAGAAGGAGGAGGAGCTGCCTTCAAGTCATCTCCGGCTGTGGTTGCTCTCAATTCACTCGGACATTTTATTAATTGCACAATGGCTCAAGAGCTGACTAGCTCGTTCTTGACAAGAAAACTACATTTGCTCACTTGCCAGGAAACTTACAATTGTTGTTCTCAATTTGCCTTGCGGTTTTCCCAACTGATTATGGACACAAGCCGCACCTGATCCATCGGCTTTTGACTTGAGCCCGATGGCTAATTCCACACCAATTGCCAGAGCAGTGGCGTTAATTGAATTAATAAAGAGCAGGCCGCGCGGTGCTGTGTGCAATGCAATGCTGATTTCCCGTGATTCATCTCTGTCAGTCGCAAAAAGGCGTAATTGATAAAAGTTAAGCCAGCGAAACAAAAAGGATAACCAGACAGTGATTAAGTGCCTGGCCGCGTCAGCGCCGCATTTGATTGATTATCAATTTTACCGGAGGCACCGCTTTAACGTACGACTCCTGGACTGGCCCATGTCCATGGGTTGTGGATATGGGTATATGGGAATGCATGCCACTGCATCGCATTGCCAATTTAAGAGTGTTGAAATTTATTGAACAGCTCCCTCCAGTCCACCGCTGCAGTTTCTCCCATAAACGTGGTTCGTCGTCGGTTTCCACATCCTCTTCCGCTCCAGGGAATCGAGTGGTGCTTCCGTTTTGTTTTAAGCCAGTCCCAGAGCATATGTACTCGTGAGTTTACTTCTGGCGTTCTTTACAGTATTTCTGTTATCTAAAATGTAATTTCTTTGAATTTAAATGTTTCTTAAAGATTTCAGATATTTTCAAGCATATAAATTCATATTGTAAACCTTCGGGTATGTTGGCAAGTCAGTTCTCTTTAGGAACTCTTTGAATTCGTGCCTGGAATTCTCGTATGCATCCAACTTGCTCCCCTCACGAGCTCATCTCTCGTGCGGTCAGGTAGCTGGGGCTATCTTTAGTCGCTTTAAGTTCACTTGCACTTCATTGCACAAATTCT